AACCTCTTTGAAATGTTATTTATCCTTCACTGTCTCCATTCATTCCTCAATCCACTGCACAAAGGCTTCTGCCCCCATTTCACCACTAAAACTCTCCAGGGTAAGGTTGCCTGGGGCAGCTGTTGCTGAAGCCCATGAACCTGTTTCTATCCCTATCTGACTTGACCTTTCTGCCATCTAACACTGCTAACCATTTTTCACAAAGCCTTTGCTGCCTTGGGCTTCCCTGACTTGGCTCTCTTGGTTCTCTTCATCGTTCTTTGGCTGATTCTTCCTTTTCCTTCATTTGCCCTCTTTACCTAGAGAAGTTGATTTCCCCAGATTCCCCATTGGAACTCCTTTGCTCTTCCTTCATCCTCATTCTCTCTGGATGAGATGATCATATTGATTTGCACAGCATCCATCAGATAACATCTCTAAGTCCCTTTTCATCCTGAGCTCCAGACCTCAGCTCTTCCATTGGAATGTTTAATAAAAACTTCAAACACATACATGTATAGCTGAAATTTCACGTATACTTTTCCTGTCTCTACATCTCAATGAATGGTACCAGCACCCATTCAGCTGCCCAAGGAAAAACGTGAGTCATCTCTGTCTCTTTCTTTCTCCTGCCCCCTTACACTAGTTAAAGGAGCCCTGGTAGCACAAAGTTAAGCACTTGACTGCTAACCAAAAAGTTGGTGGTTTGAGCCCACCAGCAGCTCTGTGGGAGAAAAGACCTGATGAGATTAAAACTGTCATTGTTGTTGTTATTGCTAGGTGCTGTCAAGTCAGTTCTGACTCATAGAAACCCTACTTACAACAGAAAGAAACATTGCCAGGTCCTGTGCCATCCTCGCAATTATTGCTACGTTTGAACTCATTTTAAACCATGCTGTTTCCCCTTGTTCTATTTGAACAAGTATGTCTTGGTCGATATACAGGCTCCTCATCAGCATAATTAAGTGTTCTGGAATTCCCATTCTTAATGTCTGACATCAGCAATGATTTCTATCATTCCAAATCCAGCTTGAATTTCTGGAAGTTCCTTGTCAATATACTGCTGCAACCATTTTTGAATTAACTATAAATATTACAGTCTAGAAAATCCTATGGGGCAGTTCTACTCTGACATATGGAGTCGCTATAAGTCAGAATTGACTCAATCGCATGCAGCAACAGCATATCTAATTAATTATTAAATAATTTTGACTCTACCTCCTTAGATACACTCATATCTATGGTCTTATCTCTGGTCCAACAACCACTTCCTTAGTTCAGGTTTTTGTCATTTCCTACCTGCATTATTGCCAGAGCTCCCTAACCTAGCTCTGTTTTTACTAGTCTTTCTGTAACGCTTCTTTACACTGCTGTCAGAGTTTAGGGAAAACAGTTCCCTAAGCAATTTTCCAGAAAACTAGTGTTCCAATCTTTAAGAGAAGGGTTTCTTAGGCAAAGAATGATAAACATAATAAAAACTACTTACTGAAGAAAACATCACTTCTGTGACCCTTTTTTAGTGATTCACCAGGAAAAGCAGCATATTCAAGGCTCTGAGAAGTCTTGCAGCAAAGCAATCTGTCCGTAATTGTTCAACCAACTATTTTCTCAAACATCTTTGATCATAAATTCCCTTCCTTATTGAACACATTTTAATATCTTGGAGAACATTATAAGCTGTTTTAAAACGTAAGCCTGATCAACTTATTTCTCTATTTAAGAATAAAGCAAATAAGTAGATTTAAAAGAAAAAATAAGAGAGACAATTTGAACTTTATTCCATGGGCAACTAGAGACCCTTGGAGATTCCTGAGCAGGGTAAACCAAACCAAACTCACTGCCAGTGAGTCAATTCTGACTCATAGTGACACCCGTTGGGTTTCCAAGGTGGTAAATATTTATGGAAGTAGATTACCCAGTCTTCCTTCTGTGGAGGTGGCTGGTAGGTTTGAACCACCAACCTTCTGGTTAGCAGTCAAATGTCTTAGGCACTACACCACCAGAGCTCCTTCCTGATCAGGGTGGTATTGTTGTTGTTGTTTGCCATCGAGTCGGCCCCGACTCATAGCGACCCCTCCTTGGGTTTCCGAGGCAGTATCACTACGGAAGTAGGATTGCCCAACCTTCCTTCCGAGGAGTGACTGGTGGGTTTGAACCGCCAAGCCTTCTGGTGAGCAGTCGAGTGCCTTAGGCACTATGCTACCAGAGCTCCTGAGCAGAGTAGTGACCTAATATCTACACAATCAATAGCTGCCAGCTATCGAGCCCTTACCATGTGCCAAATGCTTCTCATTTACTATTGCTAATGTTTATGAAAACTCTACAGGTGAACGTAATCCCTGGGCAAGAAGACAAATACCCAGGTTGATTAAGCATTGGGTTCAAGGCCATACAACCAGTAGTAATAATGAAGCAGCATTTGGCTCTGAAGTCTGAATCGCTTTAAAAACTCATTGCTGTCAAGTCAATTCTGACTCACAGCAAACGTAAAGAATAGAGTAGACCTTCTGCACAGGGTTTCCAAGTCTGTAATCTCAGAAGCTGACTGCCACATCTTTCTCCCATGGAGCAGCTAGTGGGTTCAAAACACTGACTCGGGTTTTTCCATGGCTTTAAAACTACACCTTTTTGCAATTAAACAACCAAACTCATTGCCATCAAGTCAATTCCAACTCATAGCACTCCCCTTTGGGTTTCTGAGGTGGTAACTCTTTATGGAAGTAGATTGCCCAGCCCTCGTTCCACGGAGTGGCTGGTGGGTTTGAACCGCCAGCCTTCTGGTTAGCAGTCAAATACCTTAGTCACTATGCCACCAGAGCGCCTTCCTTTTTGCAATAATCAGGAAATAATTTGCACTCACAGGAGATGGAGGCAGGAAAATCAGAGAACTTGGACATAAATTCTGAGAAGACAGGCACTTCTTTCTTCTTTGGTCTTCTCCATCTTGGGCTCCATATGCCTCTAGATAGTTCCTCAAGTACTAGCAGCCATTCTTTTTAAGCTTGAGTCTCATTGCCTCTTCTGCAGCCCATTATACTTTTCTCCCCTTAAACCACACAGCAGGACATCATATGGCTCCAGGAAAGCCTCTCCCCTGCTTAAAAATTACATATTTTGCTCTAGTACCCGCTCAAGGCCAAATTTCTTAGCCTGATATTCTAGGCCTTCCATTATCTACCATCAACTTTCTCTTCCAGTCTTGACTTTAGAGACTTTTCTTAGTCTAACTCATACTCCAGCCAAACCACACAACTCAGTGTTTACCAGCTGTCCTGCCTTTGTTGATATTGTTTCATCTACTTGGAAAGCCCACTCTTCTTTCCAGTGCTGCTTCTTTACATCCTACCTATCCTTCAAAGCCTCTTTCCACTGCCAACTCCATATAACATTTCCTAAACTGAGCCAGAGGAGCTCTGGTAGCATAGTGCCTAAGGCACTTGACTGCTAACCAGAAGGCTGGTGGTTCAAACCCACCAGCCACTCCTCGGAAGGAAGGTTGGGCAATCCTACTTCTGTAGTGATACTGCCTCGGAAACCCAAGGAGGGGTTGCTATGAGTCAGGGCCGACTCGACGGCAAAATAACAACAACAACAACAAACTGAGCCAGCCAGATGCTCTGTTTTCCAGCACAAAAGGGCAGTGAGGTGAGGTGCTCCAAGTTTGTTATTATCTTCTAAAAATTAAACCAGGAAAACCTGCAATGGATGGCATCAGCCATCTTTTTTTTTTTTTTTTAAAAAAAAAAAAAAAAAAAGGTATAACCAAAGGAAGAGTCAAGAAGTGAACAGGAAGTAGACAGGAGATAAGAAAACATCTTTGTGGAACAAGGTAGCTAGGGCTTACTCTCAGAATACAATTGCGTGTACATAATAGAAACCATAAGAGGAGCAAACACAGGCCTAATCAGATCAGTCACAGGAAACAGAGGCAGTCAGCCTAACCATAATCAATTATAATAACTGGCCAAGATAATGACCTAACCAATTATATTCTGCTCTGCGTATGGAAGCACAGTTGTGCTGGAATAGAAGGAAGGCAGGCAAGGTGATGTGGCTTAGTCTGCTGCCAATACCACCTAAAAGAGACAGTCACTGAGTTTGGGGGCCACTGACTTTCAGGACAGAAGGGCTGGCTATGAGACAGAGATATTTCATCCAGCTTTCTCAGACTTGGTTAGTTTTCCCAAAACTCTCCTGTTTCTTTTCTTAAATTACAAACCCAACAAATAATCTAAGAATGAATTTGGCTTTCCCTTACACTACAGAAAGGAATATTTTGGGCAGGGGCATCCCCATTATATCTATTCCACGGGGCTGCTGGGAGGACTTAGTAAGATAATGTATGTAGAGATGGACCCAGATGATACATAAGGATTGTTCAATAAATGCAGGTGACAAAATCAATCAGCATATTGAAATTCTGCTTTCAATGGCAATTTCTCATAAATTTGGTTATGGTGGATTGGTTTCCTGGTGTCTATATGCTCTGATAAAAATGGATGTCTGGACCTGCAAAATGCGTTCCATGACCCTGGGTTAGAATGAACCAATTGAGATTCTGATTCGAGAAGAGTCTGGCAACCACCTGCCCATCCTCGGGCATCTCGATCTTATTCTCTCTCTAAAAGCCTCAATCAGCTCCATTCTCTAGACATCCAGCACACATATTACACCATTTTTGTTCTGTTTTTTATTCCAATTTCATCAGAGTATACAAATGAGCCCCAAATTTCATAAATTCTTAATCAGTTTAAATGAGTTAGATCAAAGACCAAACAAATGACCTAGGTTCAAATGAAGGCTATAAAACTTGCCTCACTGGCTGCTAAGGAATGGGATGCAGACCCCTGGAGACAATGCTGGGGGATATAAACTAGGAATATCTGCCCTGGTGACACTCCAACTTTCTATCCCAGCAGGTGGCTACAGGTAAACTACCCAGGGTGAAGGAAGACTGCTCAGCTGCCCAGTAGGGACAGGGAGAGACAGACAATAGATTAAGCATGTGCTTCCACACTTACCTGGATCTCTGTCTGCACAGTGCATTTGACCAGTTTGAAGTTCTTCCCAGGATTGAAGCTGTTGCTATAGAAGCAGACCTTGAGGATCCGGACGTCTTCCTTCTCCACATCTACAGGTACCACCACCATGGGCTCTGGGGGGCCTTCAGGCCGGCGCAATGTGCCCACCTTCACTCGGCTGAGGGGCTCAGACACCCCAGACATCCTCTCAGACAGCAACTAGGACCAGCACATTGCCGTAGAGTCCTGTGGAGACAGCAGAGGCACAGCCCTGAAATGAATCTCCCTGTAGGCTCACATGCCTCATCCCCCAGGGGCAGCACCCACCAAGCTCCGAAACCTACACCAGCTACACATTCTCTGGTTCCCAAGAACACCCCTTACAGGCATCCTGCTTTATTGAGTGGGGAAGCTGAGGCATGAAGCAAGCAGTCTGTATAAACACTCAGGTATAGAATCAGGACTTTGCGCTGCCAGGCTTGCCATCTCTCTTCTAGAAACCACCTCTCTCCATCACATTTACCCTCCCACACTGTGCTCCTGGGCAAGGGGCCCACATTTAGCAAAAGCAGCTGTGAGAGGAGGCGTTGCAGCATGGTTCCAAGGCACAGCTGAACAGAAAAAATGGAGAGTGAGACAGTAGAAAATAGCAGGAGAGAAACAGGGAAAGAGGGGAATGCTGAGAAGAAACAGAATTTGAGAATGGTTGGTCCTGAGGGAACCAGAATGGAGAAGCAGGAAAGGACCCTGGTAGGGGGGCTAAGCTATCAGCTGATCTCTTTGTCTGGCCCACCTTCAGCTTCCAGCTCAAACTTTCAGAACTTTACCAGTAGGAGGCCTCTGTCCCACAGGAGCTCATCATATAGAATATTACTCATTACCCAAGGGGGAATTGAAGAAGAACAATGTCCTGCTCCCAGGGCATTCTGCAGGGTGGGACGTGGCTGGATTGGGCTAGAAAACCTAGCCCAGTTCTAGTGACAGCCTGTTATGTTACAGAAATGTGCAGATACATATTCTGAAGACACAAAAGAGATGTTGCAAGGACGAGAGAAGGAGTAGGGCATGTCCATTAGGCTGAGGAAGTGCAGACACCAGGCACAATGGGGCACGACATCAGGTTTAAAGGGCAGACAGAATTTGGCACAAAGAAAATAGAGAAAAGACTCTCTGATCTGCTTTATTAGACAGAAAGAGAGAGATACATGATAGACAGACAGACAGACAGGCATACAGACATGGGGTAGCCATGAGTCAGAATTGATTCAATGACAAGAGGTTTGGTTTTGGTTTTAGA